ACTCCACACTGAGCGTGGAGCCTGACGTGGGGCTCAATCTTAGGTCCCTGAGATCATGACCTGAGCTGAAATCAAGAGTTGGAAGCTTAACTGACTGAGCCACCCCGGTGCCTCTATCCACCCTCGGTGATTGAATAAAAGCACTCCCAATAACTTTCTAATGTCCTTCGGGAGACCCACTCTAGCTGCAGGTTTTCCACCCTGGTTACTCAGAGGCAGCTTCCATTTCTCCCAGCCTCTCAAGGCAGTGAATCAAATGGAACCTTAGCCAGAAACCCATCCCCAGTGGTTATTTTTGCTTCTTACTAGGACTAACTTGTTATTTAAAAATGTTTCCTTGAACCCAAGTGACAACCGGAGAGAGAGGTTTTTGCCTGGTGACTGTTCCACCAATTGGTTCTCACTGGTTTGAAGTATTAACTTGAACTGGGCAGATCAGCACTGAGAGGGAACTAGCAAACGGAGGCTTTAAATACCCTGATCTCAACAGATGTGTGTGCCTATCCCCACAATTAAAAGTTATGAAAACGAGGCAGGAATCACAGAGGACACACAGTGGAGACATCAAGACCCCATGGATGGATGCCCAGCACCCCATCTTCGACTCTGCTGCCCCATTATAGGTTAATTCAGGATCATCAGGGGAGGTTTGGAATTATTTTTAGGAGACTGGTGCTTCTCATCACTAAACTTCTGCTGTAGTCCATCTGGGCTATCACAAAATATCACAGACTGAGTGGCCTATAAACAACAGAAATTTGTTTCTCACAGCTCTAAAGACTAGAAGTTCAAGACCACAGCACCTGCATAGTTGGGTGAGAGCTCTCGTTGGGGTTCACAACCATTGATGTTCACTGTGTCCTCACATGGAGGAAGGGATTAGAGATCGCTCTGGAGCCTCTTCTATAAGGCTCCCCCCATCATGACTTTGGGACCTCCCAAAGGTGTCACCTCTTGTTACCATCATCTTTTGGGGGTTAGGATTCCAATGTATGAATTTGGGGGGAACACAAACATGCAGATCATAGCATCTTCTGTTCTTAGTTTCTCTTTTCATTACCCTTGGCCCCCCACAAGACTAAAGAGATACCCTAGCAGACCCATTCCTTTTGCTTTCTGTTCATTAAGGGGAATTGGATTGATAAACTATTCCGTGGGGCTCCAGAGACAAGAAACAGAGAAAGGAAATAATAGAAGGGTAAATTACAGTTCACTGTAAAGGCAAAGGAATGCATCTAGCAGGGTGGGTGACAGCTCAAGTAGAAAGGCCTGTTTGGAACCCCAGCTCTGCCACAGTTAGAAGCTGTGTGACCTGAGTTAAGTCACTTCACCTCTCTGGGCTTGGGTTTTCTCATCTGTAAAATAAGATCATCATATTGTTGTGAGGATTAAATCAAGTGTTATTTGTGACAGCTATATAGTGTAGCACGAAGACCTAAGTATCTAGCACATGTCTAATTAATAACAATGGCTAAGGTCAGAAAAATAGTTACCTATGAATGGATTCGACTGCCTTGTAAGGTAATGAGGGTCCTGCAACTAGAAGGATTCAAGTAAAGGAAAAGTTGCTTCCACTTAGGTTTGTAGGAAAGTTTCTGCATCCATGAAGAAGCTGGCTGGCATGAACCTTGACCCCAGTTCTTGGGGTGGTGGTGGGCGGGGGGCGGGGCTTCTGAGATGAAGGAAGACAGGCAGGCATCTGGTTAGGGTTAGGGTTACAGGCAGGCATCTGGTTTTGGGCCCAGAACCTGATGTGTGCCACCAAACCCGCCCACTGGACCCCACTTGGCCCCTGGAGGCTATTTTTACTCCTCTCCTCTTACAGATCTGTTTTGTTAATCTCCTTATATTCGCTGTTTTGACTTCCCAGCCAGCTTGCTAATCAGTTTGCCTGCCTGACTCACAGGGTTTGCATTTGTCACTGAGACTTAAACACACACTTGTTTTGATTTCTTTTTGTAAAATTAGAAGCGTTTGATGTAATGACTGTACCTATAGACACAGCTGGTAAAGTGAGAATAATGCTCAAGTTTGCACAGTTTAAACACAATGTAGACAATAATTAGAAATGCTATCTTTAGATGTTTAGGATAAGCTTTTTCTCAGAATTGCAGTGAATTTTTTCCGAGTGGGGCTTTTCAGTGCGTATATATACAGAAATACTAAAAACGTAAGAAAATAGAGCAAATCAGTGAGTGCTTTGGTCAACTTGAAAGACGGCAGGAAATAAACCAACTGATTTTAGATCTGGCATTTTTGACTGAATGCATAAAATCTTTACATTCTCCATAATTTTCACGACTGCCATATGATCTAATAATTTTAGGTGACAGATTGCAACCGATAATGTTGTTACAATATTCTAGAAGGAACACTCAGCCTATATTGTTGGCCTGCAGCGAGGGTAGAGAGGGAAAGTGGTGCAAATAATAAAGATAATCATCTATATCAGGAAAATTACTGCATGTTTATTTCAGGTGACAAAAAAAAGATATAGTTATATTATATGATAATCGTAGAAACCAATAACACAGGGTCTGCAAATGAATAGAGGTTACTTCTTTCTTTAAACTACAAGATAGCAGCTGGTTTGTTTTTTTTAAAGCCAATTGTTTTAAATTTAATAGGCTATCACTGGCCTCAGCTAAGATCCAAAATATATTCCTGGGCTCACATAGATTCCAGAAAGTCGAACTTGTCAGTGTTGTACAAACTTTCCCTATTAAAAAAAGTCCCATTCAGTCGAGAGGTGATATGGAACGTAAGGCAGCACATCTGTATCTATCACTTTAAATTGCCTTCATGCTGTATCAACTTGCTTTGTTTTGTTTTTGTGAGCAATCGTAATAGCGAGAGACAGGCCCTTCTTATTTTTTCTGCTTCTCATTTCTAATTAGATTCACTACTGAGCTCTCTATTGCATCTCTCATTTTCACATTTTTCTCTGTTCAGAAAGACATCTGGAAAAAAAGGAATATATTAAAGTAGTGAGCTAAGGGGAATCTTTTGGCTTCTTGACATCCTAACTGAGCCGTGTCATGGTACCCTCAGTATTTATTAAGGAGGGAGATTTTTCCAAATGGAGGCTTCCAGAATGAAAGCAAAGGGCAGAAGGAGAAGGTGCTCAAAGAGAGGACTTTTTTTTTTTTTTAAGATTTTGTTTATTTATTTGAGAGAGAGAGAGACAGAGACGGAATGAGCAGGGGCAGAGGGAGAGGGAGAAGCAGACTCCGCGGAGCAGGGAGCCCGATGTGGGGCTCAATCCCAGGACCCCGGGATCACGACCTGAGCTGAAGGCAGATGCTTAACAGACTGAGCCACCCAGGCGCCCCAATAGAGGACTTTTTCAAAGAGAAGTAGGATACCAAGCCATCCAAAGGGCTGCAGCAAAGCGATGGAGCCAGGAGAGGCCCCATATTTTGGAGGAGAAGCACACCAAGAGGGGTGAAGGCATGCTGTAATTTTAAGGAAACAAGGAAGATAACACCAATGAGCAGGGAGCTGGTGTTTGAAATTCCTTAAAGAAGAGGTTGAACCTTTTATGTCACATGGTGAGTAGGGGTGTAAATGCCCCAGTGGGACTAACACATCCAAAGATTCACCCCAACAGGTGAATGACTGATGGCAGAACCCTTTTCTAGAATTCCCGTCGTGATGGTGGCGTGTGTTGGGGATTGAGGGCACAAGAGGCGCAATGACGGGAAAATGCATTTCGTTTAAGATTGCCGAGTGGGAGGAGGCTCCAGCCGGGATTGAGCTGAATGCCACCAGGAGCCTCCTAGCTAGAGAGGCTTCTGGAATAGCTGTGTGAGGTGAAGAAGACAGAGGGGGGTGGGGGTGGGGGTGGGGGAGGAAGGTGGGCAGAAGAGGCATGGAAAGAGGAGTTAGGGATGAGAAATGCCTGGAATAAAAAAGCCAATCCATTTCTAGGGGCCTTAATTAAAAGAACGACACACGCTCATATGTAAAAATCCACACCTAAGGGCTCTCAGGTACAGAGCGGTCACAAGAAAGGCAGGATGTGCAAACAAGCTTTCATTAAGAGACCTGTCGGCTCTGTTTCATTTATCCAGGCTGCTCTGCATTCTGCTGGCAACTGAGCTGGAAAAATAATGGAAGGACAGACACACTCGAAGAGGCGAACAAAGGTGGGAACGTCCCAGCTACAAAACAGAACAGATGATAAAGCAGCCAAGGGAGAGCGGAGATGAGATGACATTCTTCTTAACAAAAAACAGCCACTGTCCCGCCCCCCAGCTCCAGACTCATGAGTAACGAAATATTCTGGCTTTTTAAGGGAAGAAAATGAAACAAAATCAGATGTGGGGTTCAGAGACAATGCTGCTGGTGGCTTATTTAAATCTATTCTCAACTTTCCTCTACTGCTCGATTTTGTTTTGCTGTTCACCCCTTTAGAGTCTGCATGTCCAGGGACGGGCCCTCCCCAGTTCACTTGGTGATCCTGATGAGTCCAAGCCCTTCTCAGTTAATTCCATCTCCCTCGCTAGGGGTTGGTTTAGACATAGGCTTGCGATAATTCTGACCAATGAACTGTGACAAGAACTAGGTTTCTTGCTCTTATGCATGCACGTCCGCACATGCACACACACACACACACACACACACACTCATGTGCATGCACACACATGGGGAGAAACTTCCTTCTTGCCTTTGGACACAAATGTGAGAACAGGTGACTGATGCTGGAGCTGTGGCAGCCATCTCGGCAGCTTGAGGGTGTAGCTAACCATGAGGCAGGCAGAGCAGAAAGATGGAAACCCAGATCCTTGATGACTTCTTGAATAAACCAGCCCCAGAATACCCCACTTCTGAAGTTCTCGTTATGCAATATGATTCATTTTCCTACCATTTAAGTTTCTTAAAGTGTGTGAATCGTAGCAGAGTGTGCTCAGACTGATGCAAGGCTAGCTGGTAAAGCCGGGGAGAGAACGCTGTGCACTTCCACAAGGACTCTCAAAAAGACAAAAGACAGCCATAAGTAATTGCTGAAACTCCCTTTAATGTCTGTGGAACAGAGGAGCCACGTTGGGCTGGAACAGCAGGGGTGGGACAGAGTCACGTGTGTATATGGGGCATTGTCAAGGTTACTCATGTGACAGGATCAGCTCATTGGCTCCAATTCCATCTAATAACACAAAACCCTCCAGGCAGACTGCATGCACCATTTGGGTTATCACTCCCTCTGACCGCCCCACCCTGAACCCCACACTCTCTGGGACTCACAGTAGTGTCCCTGCCCGTGATGGAATGTGGTGGCGTTTCTTATAAGCGCTGCTTTCCAGAAGGTGATGGAATGGGCCCTAAAGATGTGCACCTGGCCGACTGTGTGTCAAAACCAGTGCTTCCGTGGGGAGAGATTTTTCTTTTCATTATGATTGTATTAAATCTGGCTGTGATTTCCTTTGGTGGCTCTGGCGGGCTATGTAGTAGCGCTGAACATTTGCAGAGAGTTAAGGCCTAGTGCCGCAGGAAAATTATTTCCGTGGCTGCTGGCCTGTGCAGGCTCTGCAGCTGCAGAAGCCACCTCCCTGGAGAGGAAGTCGAGGGGGCGGGTGTGGGGAGCGGGGAGAGGCTGAAGCACAGAAGGATGACTGGGGCATCGGGCCTGATGGGCAAGGGGCACATGGTATGTCCAGATCCCAGCTCCTGGGTCTAGGAGCAACAGTGCACCGACTTGGGCACGCCCCTCTTCCACTATTGGGGTGACCTCTGGTGAGTGGGAAGAAAGCAGCTGGAGGCCCACCCGGGCCCCAAACTGGACCTTCTTGCCTCCACTTCGCTGTCCTTCAGGGTGAGAGCGTGCAAAATCTGACAGAGCTCCTGCTCCAGGAGCAGAGTAACGCCAGAGATGAAATAGGGCAGGGAGGCATCGGGGTGGGCTGGCTACCCCCGTGCGGGGTTCACACCTAGGATCACACACCTGCTCTATCCGCTTGATATTTTGGATGAATTTTCAACTTTCCCACCTCGGGAGCCTCTCTTTTTCCTGCAGGAGAGCCTCTCAAAGGAGTGATTCTGGTTCTCAGGGGTGTTTTGAGCTTTGGGATGTGGTATCAGGCCTTTCTGGGGTGATGAACTGAGTTTCGCTCAAAGAAAGGTCTATCGTTTGATGGGCCTTCCATTTTCTGCAGTTCCAGATGTCACCCAGAAGAGCTAATTTTATCCCTAAGGAAAGAACCAGGAGGGCTGACGCCCCCTCCTCTCCCAGCCTGGGTTCTTGGTTCCACAGTCCCCCGAAACGGGCTGTAATGAAGTTATTTTGTTTTCCTCTTTCTTGCCACTATTGGGCCACGCGCTCTGCGTCTCGTCTCTAAGATCCAGGTAACTGGCGGCACAGGGGAAGCAGCCTTAACGCCCCGCAGGGGGAGTGAAGGGTTCAAGGTTTCACGTGGCTCAGGAAACTGGATCGGTCCTAAGCGGTTTCCTGCCCCAACTGCTTATCTTGTCCCAAGCCCCACACCCACCACTCCATGGCCATAAAAACCCTACAGGCAGCACGGGTTGAAGGCAGAGAACCAGCATTCCCAGGCTCTGGCTCTTATCTCAGAAACGAAAAATCAAAATGCCGCTGGAGTCCCCTTCCCCCCACTCTTCTCCCTCCCATCACTCCGGGTCGATTAATCCTTCAGAATTACAGGCTGGAAAGCTCAGCTCTAGCAGTCAGCAAACGGGTCTCCACAGGGGCTGTGGATTTCAAACCGGAAACCCCACCTTCTGAGCCCACTTAAGCCCCTCTCCACCTGCCAGTCAGTGGCATGACAGACAGTGCCATGGGCAGGGTGCCAAGAACACCCATGCTGGGAGGTCCCCCTGGACCCTGACATGATGGAGCGGAGCCGCGAGCCCTCTGGACCCATTATGCTCAATTACACCTTTCTCTCCAGCCGCCTAACCATTACAAAGACGGGGACCTGATTAAAAACCCCATCCGTTTGAAACTCTTCCCATAATTTTGATCGACAACATTAAACGCTAATAGAAAAACATCTTATCTCTAATAAAACCAACGCTGACAGAAAGACGGATGCCGAAAACCAGCCATATGGTGGACCGAATCTGTGCCCGGCCGTGTTCACAGTAGCGTGTCTCCGGCAGAAAGAGATGACACCGGGAAGCTTGAGGACCCGCATTTAATAAATCAAACTGTGTTGGCATCATCAGAATATTCACAGTTTGCCACAGGACCTGGGTCTCTTCTCACTTGCAGGCTTTGAAGTGTGTTAGGAGAAAGAAGCTTCCCAGCGCTGTTCTGATGCTTAAGTCGTTACTGTCCCCTGCGCCTTAGACGTGTCACCGTGCGGATCCCCTTCCCCTTCAGGTTTTCAAGGCGCTCCCCGTGCCGCCACCCTCTGGGGTCTCCTTGCCGTCCTCCGGGGTGGAGGTTTCGGCTGCCGCCTGGCTGGACTCAAAAGAACCCGGGCAAGATTTGGGGGCCTCCCCCTTGGAGGCCAGGCCTGGCGGGGCTGTCCCCATCTCGTGCCTCCGAGCCTCCCTGGGACTTGCTCTTTGGACCCCTTCTGGTTCGGCCTCTGTCAGTCTCATTCTTTCCCCTCCAAGCCTGTCCATTCCTTCCTCCTCAGACGCTACCCGCAGTGATGAAGGATGAAAGGGTTTGCACCGTCTCCCGTGGTTGTGATTTGCCGCGGAGTGGACAGCGGGCCCTCCAGCATCCTCCAGGGCTGTCAACGCCTCGGTGGCCGCCTGGCTTCCACCTCGTTCTGGCTTCTGGACCTCCCCTGAAACAGACCCGGGACAGCATCAGACCTCTGGCAGGAGGTCAGCCCTCGCTGCCTCTCTCCTCCCAACCTCAGGCCCATGTCACCAGGGCTCGGAGGCGGAAAGTGCCGCTGCAGGGGATCACGGGACCCACGTCAACAAAGAAAGCAGCCACCCTGGTGACTGCCATGTCATTCATGGAGGGAAAGGGAGCCTGCGGCCAAGGTCATCACCCATCCCTTCCGGGCGCCTGGTTGTCTCCTGCTTCCCGCTCTGTGCTTCCTCGTGCCCATCAAGCATCTACATTGAGGACAAAGGTTCTGTAGATTCTGCGGCTCAGGAAAGACTGTGGCCTTTAGTCATGAAAAGGGGTGCTGGTGGCCTTCCAGGTGGGGAAGAGAAGAACAGTGTGGGAGGGATTTAGTGTCCCCCATCCTCCCACTCATTCTCCAACAGCACCTCATTCTTCGATGCACACTGCTGATGTTTCCTCAGCTCCCCACCCCTCCTAACTACTTTGGTCTGCCCAAACCTCTTCTCTAAACATCATTTTTGATCTCGACTGGAGGGGGATGGGCGAGAACGGGGTCCTGAGAACTGGCGTCTAGCCCCATTTTCCTACTTATTCATTACTTTGCGATCAGGAGAACCTGTCTGGCCTCCTTTCCTCAGACACAAAACAAGGGGCAGGACTCTCTGATGTCCCTTCCAGACCTAAGCACCTGTGGCCGTGCAGGACAGAGACACGCTTGGGGAGCAACCTCCCAGCATCCAGTCCTGTGCATTCAACGCCAGACTCTGAGGTTCCCAGAAGTCAAGATGTTCTTAGCCTGCAAACCAAACAGTGGTGACATGCATGGAAGCACCTCACAGGGCTGATTTCAGGGGCCAGGGCTCTGGGGGACACGTCCTGGTACCCCCAGTGGGACAGAGTAGAGTCCCACCACCATCAGGCTGGCATCAGACACATGCGGATGGCTTCAGGCTGACAGCTGGGACTTGGGGAAGTGGAGGGAGAACTCAGGACGATTAGAAGAAGCTGACCTGTTCTGACCATGCATTTTCCCACTTAGGACTTTCTGCCAGAGCCTAGCTGCTTGTGGGATATATTTTAATTCCTTTCACTTAGGTCTCTGACAGGGTCCTACCCGATCTGCTCCTGTTTCAGCCCCAGCCTCATTTCCTGTGGTTGTCTCATGTCTGTGTGTCCTTCTGTCCATTCTGTGCTATCTTTTGGTCTCTGCAGGCACCTGTGGATTCTCCCTCTCTAAAATTGAATCATAGCAGCTAACGCTTTTTAGGTGCTTTTCTGGGCTGGGCTCGGTGCTCAGCATTTTACCTGCTGATCTTATTCTAAAATGCAAGCGGGGGCCTCGCCTGACTTGTTCACAGTGCTTGGCGCATTCTACGGATTCAAGAATGTTTATAAAAAGTTCCTCACTTTCCTTTTTTTCTTTTGATGGGAGCATAACGTACATAAAAGTGCGCCGACCGTTAACGTCTACAACTCACTGAATTTCACACCGTGTACACACCCATGGAACCAGCAGCCAGGACGAGAAGCAAAATAACCAACCCCCTATAGACACTTCCCAGTCTATCTACTCCCGTCGCCCCTTCCTAGTCACTTTCCTGCCAAGAGTGACCACTAGCCTACTTCAGACACCAAGGATGAGTTTTGCCTGGTCCTTGGTGTTCCTATACCAGAGTCGTATTGTTTATGCTGGTTTGTGTCTGTATTGTTTTGTGTGTATGAGATTGATCCATGTTACAGTCTGTAGAGTGGGTTCATTTGAAGGTGTCACAACAAATATTTAAGTATGGAATGAAAACAGGCAATTCACAAGGAAATACAAATGGATGGCAAACATGAGAAACGATGACTTCACTCTAACTAAAGATATCTAAATTGCAAAGAGATGCATTTTTTCATCTACCAGACGGGCAAAAATGAAAAGGTTTGATAAAGCTCAGTTTGGCTGAGGATGTGGGGAAACAGGTATAATCATACATTACTTAAGAGAATACAAATGAGCAAAACTCTTTGACAGGGTATTTAGGCAACAATCCCAAATACATTTACCCTTTGACTCAGTATTTTCAGGATTAGGAATCTATCTATGGATATTAGCCCACATATTTCAAGATGTATGCACCTAGATGCTCACTATGACATTGTTTTTTAAAAAAGATTATTTATTTGAGAGAGAGGGAGAGAGAGACTGTGTGAGTGGAAGGAGGTGCAGAGGGAGAGAATCTTCAAGCAGACTCATGAAGGAGGAGCTCCACATGGGGCTCAATCTCACGACCCATGAGATCATGACCTGAGCCAAAACCAAGAGTCGGATGCTTAACTGACTAAGCTACCTAGGTGCCCCATGACATTGTTTTTTATAGCAGAAACCTGGAGAGAATCTGAGTGCTCATCAACAGGGGATTCTGTATATACTTGCTGAGCCGTAAAAATGTTTTTGGCAGCATACACTAAAACTTGTAATTCTGTAGGGAGCAAGTTGAGGGTCAGGGCAGAAAACAAGGATGGAGAAAGGCTTTAAATTTAACTTTATACCTTTCTGTGTCATTTACATTTTCTTTTCTTTTTATTTATTTATTTTTTAAGTAGGAGCCCAACTTGGGGCTTGAACTCAAGACCCTGAGATCAAGACCTGAGCTGAGATCAAGAGTTGGACGTCAAACGTACTGAGCCACACAGGTGCCCCCTCTGTGTCATTTACATTTTAATCACCTGCTTATATTACTAGTTTAAAAAGGTAAGATATGCAACTTCCAAGATTTTGTCACCAATTAACATCTCGTCTTTCCTTTTTTGCACTAAATTGTAAACCTAAGAGCCTATATCCATTGCTTCCAGTTCCCAGTGCTGATTCACAACTCAGATCCTTCAGTCTGCTTTGTATCCTCCCTACCAGTGAGCAAGCTTTTGTCACCACATCCAACGCCCCTTTCTCAGTCCCCTCCTGCCTCCTCTGTAGCAGATTTCTTTCTTTTTTTTTTTTTGAAGATTTTATTTATTTATTTGACGCACAGAGAGAGAGAGCACAAGCAGGGGGAGTGGCAGGCAGAGGGAGAAGGAGAAGCAGGCTCCCCGCGGAGCAGGGAGCCCAATGCGGGGATCGATCCCAGGACCCTGGGATCATGACCTGAGCCAAAGGCAGACGCCTAACCGACTGAGCCACCTGGGCACCCCTCCTCTGTAGCATGTTTCTGATGCCACATCCTCCTCTCAAGCTGTTTCTCCCTTTGGTTTCCAAAACACTGTGTTCTTCTGTTTCTCCTCCAATCTTGTTTGGTGAGCATGCTGTATTAGTTTCCCATAGCTGCTGTAACAAGTTACCACAAATTCAGTAGCTTAAAAGAACACATTTTTTTTCTCTTATAGCTGTGGAGGTCAGAAATCCAACATGGCTTTCACTGGGCCAGAACCAAAGCCACACGGCCTTGGAGGCTCTAGGGAAAGATCTGTTTTCTGCCTCTTGCAGCTTCTGGCGGCTGCCGGCACTCCTTGGCTTGCAACAGCATCCCCCAGTATCTGCCTCGGTGGTCACACTGCCTTCTCTTTTCTGTGTGTGGCAAATCTCCTTCTGCCTCCCTCTTACAAGGAGACACGTGCTTCTACTGAGGACCCACATGGATAATCCAGAATAATCTCTCCATCTCAAAAGTGGGTAAATCAATCACACCTGTAAGTCCTTTTGCCCACTGAAGGTAACATTTACAGGTTCCAGGACTTAGGATCTGGAATCTTTGGGGGCCACTCTTCAGCCTACTCTGCATGCCTCCTAGTTTCCTTTGTCTATCCCAAATCTCCTTCTGGTCCCTCCGATTCCCACCCCCACCCCCAACTATGTGCCATGCGTTTCCCTTGTTTTCATTCACTCTCACTCACTGGCCAGCTCATGATCTTAATTCCTGACCATGAGTACAGCTCCCAAATCTATATGCATGGCTCTGACCCCTTTCTGTCAGACATACACACCCAGGTTTCTAGCTGCCAACTGGATTCCCCACCTGGATGATCTGGAATTCCCCTCGCCCCCGAACCTCCCCCGGTAGATGTGTTCGTGCCTGCCATATCAGTACCGTTCATGGTAATATGGGCTTCACACCCTGAAGCCATCCACATTAGTGTCCTTCCCTTTTCTATACCCATCAACCGCCAAGTGCTACGTATGGCCTTCAGGGCTATGAACCGAACTATCCTCTCCCCCACCCAAATTCATATTTAAAGCCCTAATCCTCAATATGATGGTATTAGGAGGTGGGGCCTTTGGGAGGTGATTCAGCTTAAATGTAGTCATGAGGATGAAGGCCCCATGATGGGATTAGTGCCCTTTAAGAAGAGAAAGAGACACCAGAGTTCTTGTCTCTCCCTCCCTCTCTCCCTCTCCCTCTTTCTCTCCCTCTCCCTCTCTGTCTCTGTCTGTCTGTCTGTCTCTCTGCCATTGAGGACACAGCAAGAAAGTGGATGTCTGCAAGTCAGGAAGAGAGGATCCTCACTAGACACTGAACTTGCCAGCACCTTGGTCTTGGACTTCCCAGCTTCTAGAACTGTGGGAAATAAGCATTTGTTGTTCAAGACACTTCCCTGATAGTATTTTGTTATAGAAGCCTCAGCTGACTAAAACACTCATAGTTTCTTGCATCTGCCTCTTCCTCTCCTTTCCCAAGGCAGACCTTCTGCAGTCACGGCTTGATTTCTAAGGCTTCCCTATATAAATCACTAGGTGCATTTCCCAAAATTTCAGCTGGATTTGACTTAACATCACCTCAGCCAATGAACAGGTAAGCATTCAGAAAACAAGGGCAAACCACTCCTGATAGTTCATAAACCCAGCCCCTGGCAGGCGATAGCTACGTGGTGACTATTAATAAGATTTATATGAATTTTTGAGGATTATTTATATCATTTAGAAAGACTGAGTATTCAAAAGTGCATACATCTAACTACATGTAGCCTAAAAAGTCGATAAGATCTAAAAAGTTTGAATTAAAATGCAGC